TTTCTTTAACTGTATGTTGTTCTCTTCAAAAATGCCAAAGGCGTGGAGATTGAGCACTATAGTTCCCATCTACAAGGGAAAAGGTAGTAAGTACGAGTGCAACAACTACCGCGGAATCAAGCTCCTCAGTCACACCATGAAACTCTATGAGAGGGTAATTGACAGCCGCATAAGATCCGAGTGCGAGCTGTCTAAGAACCACTATGGCTTCGTACCTGGATTGTCTACCACGGATCCGATGTTTGCTCTTAACACGATTGTCGAAGAGTATCGCGCGAAAAACCGACCATTACATGTCGCATTTTTGGACATGGAAAAGGCGTTTGACCGTGTCCCAAGGGATACGATCTGGTGGAGCCTTCGTAAGAAAAATGTCCCCGAACACTACGTTAACATCATTGCCGACATGTACAGAGATGCGAGGTCAATGGTTCGGACGGTGGTGGGTGAGACCAGGTCGATAGCGGTCACAGAAGGAGTGCACCAAGGTTCTGTATTGAGCCCTTTTCTGTTTTGTTTGGTTCTGGACTCACTCACCGAAGCGGCACAGAATTCAGCAACGTGGACATTTATATACGCTGACGACGTAGCCATCTGCACAGACAGCCGCGCTCACTTGCAAGAGGCACTCGTGTCGTGGAAACATCAGTTACAGACCGGTGGCCTAGTGCTGAGTGTGGCAAAGACTCAGTTCATGTCCTTCAACGACCCAGATACAAACAACAGTCCGATTTCCATCGATGGACAATTGGTGAACTCGTGTGATCAATACAAGTATCTGGGTAGTATGATGAGCGGTTCTGGGGACTTGGAAATTAACATTCAGCACCGAATAGCAGCAGCGTGGCTAAAGTGGCGAGAAGTGACTGGTGTCACGTGCGATAGGAGAATGCCGGTCAAACTTAAAGGTTTAATCTATAAGACCATCATCAGACCAGTCCTATTGTATGGCAGTGAAACATGGGCCGTAACTCAAAAGAATGTGCATACCATGCAAGTTGCTGAGATGAAGATGCTGAGGTGGATGTGCGGCGTTACCAAGCGCGACAAAATCCGCAACGAGTACGTGCGAGGAAGCTTGGGCGTGCGCGACATCGCTGACAAGATGCAGGAAAGTAGGCTGCGATGGTATGGGCACGTGAAGAGGAGGCCACCCGACTACGTAGGGAACTTGGCACTACAACTCTCCATCCCAGGTCGAAGATCCAGGGGCAGACCCAAAACACGATGGAAAGATGTAGTGGTAAAGGACATGAGAGAGTGCGAAGTCTCCTAAAATGAAGTCGAGGATAGAGCGAAGTGGAGGCGTAAGACAAGAAAGGCTGACCCCACCACCATGTGGGACACATAGCCAGGAAGAGAGAGGTCCTTCAAAAGTGTCATTGACATTTGCCAAGGCAAAGTCGGAGCACATCGGCAGAATTGGCGAGAAAATAGTTCGCCTCCCTTCGGGAACACGTGCATTCTGGTCTCTCGCCAAGGCTGTCCAAGGGAACTTCTGTCAGCCATCTCTACCATCTCTGCACAGGGTGGGCGACTCACTGGCCCATGATGCAAAGAAGAAAGCCGTTCTGCTAGGCTCTCTTTTTGCTTCCAACTCGACTCTAGATGACGGGGGGAACACACCGCCGAATATCCCGCGGTGTGAGTACTACATGCAAGCGTGCTGTTTACACAGCGCTCCGTACACTCCTCTCCCTGGACGTCAACAAGTCGAGTAGTGGGCCTGATGGAGTCCCACCTATTGTGCTGAAGACGTGTGCTCCGGAGTTGGCACCGGTTTTAACGCGTCTTTTCCGGTACTCCTACTCCCTAGTAGTACCGAACTCATGGAACTTTGGTGCACCCGATCCCAAAAAAGGCTACCGCTCAGATCCGTCAACTATAGGCCTCTCGCTATCACCTTGTTTTCCAAAGTTGGAAACCATTATTAACAGCCAGCTCATGCGGTACCTTGAGGATCACCAGCTGATTAGTGACCACCAGTACGGTTTCGGTCAAGGTCGCTCAGCTGGTGAGCAGCATCGTTTCCCGGACATCTGAGATTTTGAGTGATATTGAGATGTTCCATGAGCAGCTACACATCATCGTTGGAGCCACACGCAAGTGTGAGAATCGATCCAAGAGCAAGTCTTAAGGCGGCTCTTCACGTTGGCCAACATTGTGACGAATGTTGTGGCCAATACCTGTGGCCATCATGTAGAGGAGGTGTTTGTGCTTACCTTGATATGTATTGGAATGATGGCCCACAAGTTGGCGCGAGATGCGTGTGGTGTCGAATTTTACGAAAGATCAAAGGGTTGCGGCAGAGTTATGGCCGCCACGTCCATACGTTCGGCGCGCATTTAGTTTGCTACGACCTCCCAGAGTGATCCCACGCACCTGATTTAAATTTTTATTCATGCGTCGTAACTAGTGTCTACAAAATGTCTGTAGCAATAATCAATGAGGAAACTTTTCACTTTATAGAGCTCTACCAAGCCTTTTGGCTTGTTGTTTGTGGAACCCAAGAAATAAAATTTCTTTTTTTCCATTTCTTTTTTGATCACTCTTATACACATTCACGTAGTAGCGGTATGCTATGAATAAACAAACCGCAGCAGACATTAGCGCCTCAATATCCATTTTAATAAATTCGTTCGCATTAGCCTGAACCAAAGCAAACTGAACGACCTTTCAACGTATAGACGCCATCACAAACTCTTGGCTTATATCTTTGCCACAACATTCGCCACAATGTTGGCCAACGTGAAGAACCGCCACTATCCGACACTATTCCGATAATATTCCTGACGTCAGTCTGAGCAAGATTAGAATGGCTCACCACCTTAAAAACGGCAAGTTCCCGGGCGAGAATGGAATTACAGCGGAGCTTCTGAAAGCAGGTGGAAAACCGGTACTTGAAGTCCTTCAAAGTTCTTTGATTCCGCCCTCTATGGTGGCACTACACCGGAGGCATGGAGGAGAGGTGCGGTGGTCTTGTTCTTCAAGAAAGGCAACAACACTCTCTTGAAGAACTACAGACCGATTTCCCTTCCGAGCCGCGTCTACGTGCTGTTTTCGAGAGTCATTACGAATCGTCTCGCACGCAGACTTGACGACTTCCAGCCTCCCAAATAAGCCGGTTTCCAAAAAGACTTTAGCACCATAGACCACATACCTTTCGGCAAATTGTACAGAAGACCGAGGAGTATAATTTGCCACTATGTCTTGCGTATGTGGACTATGAGAAAACCTTTGATTCCGTCGAAATTTGGGCGGTACTGCAGTCCCTTCTGCGGTGCCAAGTTGACTGTCGGTATATCCAAGTGCTGAAGTGTTTGTACAGTAGGGCTACGAGGCAAACCGAGTACAGAGCCAGAGTACTAAACCTATCCAACTGCAAAGAGGTGTAAGACAGGGTGACCTTAACACTATGCTCTATGACCTCAATAGTGCCTCTCAACGGATGAGTCTTAAGATGAACATGGACAAAAAAAGATCATGTATAACGTCCATGTCACACCTATGCCTATATTAATATAGATAATTGTTGGGACCTGGGACAAATAGTCCAACTAGGTAAAACCAACTTCGACCGAGAGGTCAATCGATGGATTCAACTCGGCTGGGCAGCGTTCGGGAAATTACGACAAATTTCATCGGGTATACCTCAAAACTTGAAAATGAGATTGTACAACCACTGCATGTTGCCAGTAATGATTTAAGGATTAGAGACGTGGTCCTTCACTGCTGGCCGTATGAGGAAGCTCAAGGTTGCTCAGCGAGCTATGCAGAGGGCTATGTTCGGGGTTTCTCTGTATGATAAGCTTAAAAATGAAGATATCTGCAATAGAAACAGAGTGATTGAAATACCCCAACGAATTAGTAAGGTGAAGTGGCAATGGGCCGGCCATATAGCTTGAAGAACCGACAACCGATGGGGAAAAATGTTCTCGAGTGACAGGCTCGCACCGGTAGGCGAAGTGTACCCCTGTAGAGATGGAGTGACGACCTGGTAAAACATGCAAGAAGTCTGTTGGATGCAGGTGGCTCAGGACCGTGCTTTATGGCATTCCTTGGGGGAAGCTTATGTTCAGCAGTGGACTTGTGAAGGGCTATAAATGATGATGATTAAAAAATAGATAAATCACAGGACAGCAGCAGCAGTAAATTCTGTATATTCATCAATCTTCTCGGAATTAAAAGAAAAACAACTAAGTTTACATGTACATGGTTGCACTCATGTACAAGCCTCGCATCCGAGGTTTCTCTCGTGCAAAGAGTCGTTCGAGTGTACAACCGCTAATAAAATCAAACCATACAAAGAAACACTAAAACTAAGCACTTTGAAAGAGTATTTTATGAAATTTCCCCTAGTCTCCGCTTTTACAACACGACCGGGACTATGTGGCATGATGCTCCTATTGCCACCACCACACAGCAATCATCAAAATCAAATAACAATGCTGAACGCTTTATTCAGTTGTTATTTCAATCTTAATATTATGTACATTAGTTATGTTTTCCTGCCATTCGCTTTTTTTTGTCTTTTGTACACATGCACTAGTTTTTATTTTTTTTATGAAAGAGGAGACAAACAAGCATACGGCATGAGCTAATGAATATACCACAGTAATATAAAATTAATATACATTAAAATTTACCATGTGCGAGGCGGTGAAGGGAAACATCGTGACAAAACCTGCATGTCTGAGAAATAAGAAAAGAAAATATTTCGAAGACATGTGAAGTTCAACACACATTGCGGCAGCGCGGTGGACATTTCCTTGCCCTAAAATCCTCTCAGAAATGAGAGGAGGCCTGTGCCCAGCAGTGGGACGTAAATAGGCTGCAACTTTACTTTTTTTTTTAATTGATTACCTTTTCTTTTAATAATGACTGGTTTTTTGTTGTAGTTTATGGCATTTTGTTACAAGTTGACAAGTGACCTCAGAGTTCCTTGTCAGTTCTTCACAATGTTTATGTTAACATTCATAAGACCTAGAATAATGATTTACCTCATCCAGCCTTTTGTTTAATTCAGCAACTTGTTTGTCTAAATCTTTTGCCTCTTTCTCATTTTTCTTAATATTCTCTTTCTTGTCCTTGATTTCATCTTGCACTTGAGTCACTTTAGCTTCTGCTTCTTTTGCACTTTTCTCTGCTGTCACATATCTTACAAAGAATTTATTAGATTATTTAAAGAACTTACTGATAAATGGATATCAATACACAATAATAGAGAGAACACTTACTTCCAAGCCACATAAAGTCTAGTGAGGTTCTCCAACTCTCTCACTACTTTCTGGTATTCCTGAAATTGTGACCTTTCATCTTGCAATTTCTGTAGCTTGGGTGCAATATCTTCTTTAATAATCTAGAAATTGAATATATAGAAGTAAAAAGAGATATACTTATCAGTCTTGCTAAAACTCAATAATGGTTAGTGTCTAAAAACATTTCAGTTCTAATAGTTCTACTCTAACCTTAGTATTTAGTACTGAAAAATGTCAAGAGAGGTCGCTAGCGTCGAATTACAACTCGTTATCTTTTCGTTCACAGCAAACCGTATAGGGTCTGAGAATTATTATGCAATTAAATTGTTTTACTACTGGTGACATCTGGAGTTTAATTTCAACATCCGCAAGTTTTAGACAGACTGATTTTGATAATTCTTTTTTTTAGTGTGTTTGAATGGATCTCTGGATGGTTTAGATTAACAATTAGATCCGGCAGGCGCTGTTGTTGAGTCCCAGATTCCCAGAAACCACCCGTGCGGAGCCAGTGCGGATTAGCCAGTTGATAATAAATGATAAATAACAATTACACAAATTTTCCATTTTTACTTTATTATAATTTAAAATTTTAGACACCTCAAATTGAACAAAGGGCAGATATAATGCTAAGTGGCATTTACTAATTTCAAGAAAGGAATATCTTATATATTATGTAGTTCAAAGGGAAATCTGCCAGTCTTAACAGATAAATAACCAAAAATAAATGTTACAGACATTATAAGTTAAATTAAAAAGTTAACTCAAAGCATCTTTTCACTTACATCATTTAATTCTCGTAGTTTGGCATCTTTTTTTTCTATAGTTTTCTGCGCTGCTTGCTTCTTTGCCTCATACATCCTAGTACCAGCTGCTTCCTCCACCATGGAAAGAATCTGAAAATGAAACAAAATTTAAGATCATTTGTATCACTTTTGTTTCTGTCTTTGTTTATCGTGTCTTTCTCTCATTCATCATTATTGTAAAAAATAATATTAGAAATTTTCAAACTTCATATTTATTATATTTAGTAATGATTGGATTAAGAAACAGAAGAAATTTATCTAATCATTATATTTCATAAAAAAATGAAGTTATAAAAGATTAGACGTAAAATTAAATGCAATAATGCAAAATACATATAACACAAAAAATTCAGTACAAGTTATTATTACTTTTATGTGACCTTTCTGACTCATTCTCTTTATCTTAATTTTACTATATTTACAAAATATGTAACTTACTTCAGGGGGCTTCATATTTAACACTTTTGTGATCCGTCCCTGCATTATAAGGAAGTGTGGATTATTCACATTGAGTTGTACTGAACAAAACAAATCACTGACCCTCTTATTCTGCACATTGATCCCATTTATAAGATATTTGTTTTTCCCACCCATAACAACCTGGAAAGAATCAAATGAAAATTACTAATTACATGAGTGTACATATTGAATAAAGGTACTTATACAAAAAAGAATCTATAGTATTACTAAATTGTATTGATAACCTCTTTAAAGCCCAAGGTAACATGCAATGGCCAAGAATCAATGTGATCTTTATGAAGATCACATCAAGAGCATATGATTCAGTTTTTTGGATCCATTCAAATCCATTTGATTTTCTAGATTAATTTATAATAATGAAGATGAATGAAATAATGACCACACAATATTGATTGGGGAGCTGGCATGGCAATTTTAACTTTGTTTAGGTTACAATATATATACACGTATTGTCTTCCTTGTTATCAGTTTGCTTTGAAAAGCTAGACCATGTTTTTTGCAGGTTGATTAGATGATGTAACAAACAAATTTATTGGGTAAGTGGGTCTCACCTCATGTTATTTGAAACAGAAGTTGTAGGTGAGAATACAAATAACAGTTATTACAGTTGACTGAAATGCCTATTATTTAAATTTACAATAAGCATTGTTTGTCACTAGGGCCACTTTCTTTCATTATTTTAAACCCCCAACGAAAACAGATATTATCTAATAATAATAACAGATACATAGACTGCACTAAAAGTATCGGGAATCAAATATTTCCACTGTTCCTGTCATATTGAAATCTTTTTAATTGAAAACTCCTTGTTTTTAAAAATCGAATACCATTTATTTATTTAAAAAAAGATTCTCGGTCTTGTCACAAGGTCACAAGGCTTTGCGGAGACTATCGAAGTACGGTAAATCAAGCTACTGAGTCAGATACGTACACAATGCCCACGGCTAGTGAAGTCTTTGCAGTTATTACAGGTGGTTCTAATTACACGACACTTGATTTAGACAGAGCATATACGCAAGTGGTGGTCACAGACGCCACAGCGAAGCTTTTAACTTTGAATACATGCAAAGGATTGTACACCATACACAGATTGACATTCAGCGTGAAGGCCTGTCCGGGAATATTTCAACGCTTGATGACAGTACTGCTAGGAGGCATACCAGGTGTAGCCGTGCTGATTGATGACATCATCATTAGCGGCCGCACATTGACAGAAATGACTCAACGTCTTGAAATAGTACTGGACCGCATTGAAAGAACAGGATTGCGTCTTAATAAAGACAAATGTAAATTTGCTAAAAGACGCGTGGAGTTTTTAGGTTTTATGATCGATGCGGATGGTATTCATCCAGCTCAGAGCAAGGTTGAATCGATTATTAAAACTCCGGAACCTAAAAATATACAGCAGTTACAAGCATTTTTAGGCCTCTATAACTTTCACGAGAGATTCATACCTCACAAAGCAACTATTATTCCTAAGCAAAGCGAAAGCGAGTCCAAACTTGTTTGAGGTGCGGTCGGGTAGACGGCGCGATGCGGCGCGCGGCGGAGTGTGAGGAGAGGGGAGTTTGTAAAATATCCACATTTGTATTGGTGGATCTACTGTTGTATATCAACGCAGTGTTGCCAACTCTACGGATTTTTCTATAGATATACGGAAATTTGTCATCATCTACGGAACTACGGAATTTGACGTTGCAATGTACGGAATTTTTATAAACTTAACAAGATTTCTTTTATCTTGAGTGTGAACTTGCCGACAATGTCATTCAAGACAATGTATTAAATTATTTTTAATAATTAATGCTATGCTATTTGTATTAAAATAAAACCATTTTTACTCATAAATTAGATATTTTGGTTTAATTAGCTTAGATATTTTGGATTAAATTACGTTTGTTTCGAATTTAGAACACTTCTTGGAAGATAGGCAGTTAATATAAGCTCTTATAACCTTTTTTATAGATGACTGAATTGTCACTTAGTGTCTTAAATTTTTCTAATCCTATCCCATTTGTTTTTACAATTATTAAAATAGTTCTGCCAAATTATTCTTCGCTTTTCCTCTATCTTTTTTTTCGAATTTCTCAAAGTTCTTAGTTGTATATTTTTTCATTGTTACATAAATCACCCGAGTCTGAAACACCGTAATATATCAAATAAACTAACAAAAACCAGAAATTCAATCCCTGCAAAATAGTTTCGATACCACCAAGCGTTTACTTTCTTCAGACTTGACTCTTGTTCATTACGATCCATTCAGTTCGATAAGCCATTGGTTCTTACCTGTGATAGCTCTGAGTACGGCGTCGGCGCGTATTATCACACATAATGGAGGAAGGAACAGAGCGACCTGTTGCAACGGGCTTTAGGACTTTACATGCGCATGAGAGGCGTTATTCCCATTTGGATAAAGAGGCCACTGCTATCATTTTTGGGGTAGTTAAATTTCACAATTATTTGATGGGAAATTTACAATAGTTACAGACCACAAGCCATTGCTTGGTATATTTGATCCTCAAAAGCCAATGCCAGCGATCTTGTCACCTCGGTTAACTAGAATTGCGTTAAGACTCACGTCACACAACTACAATATTGTTTAGGGTAGTTAAATTTCACAATTATTTGATGGGAAATTTACAATAGTTACAGACCACAAGCCATTGCTTGGTATATTTGATCCTCAAAAGCCAATGCCAGCGATCTTGTCACCTCGGTTAACTAGAATTGCGTTAAGACTCACGTCACACAACTACAATATTGTTTATAAGCCAGGTAGAGTAATTGGAAATGCTGATGGTTTAAGTCGATGGCCACAGCCAGTTCCAGATCAACCAGAACAACAGCTTTGTGATGTTTTGCTTATGGCGGAGATGCCTGCTGATTTTCCAGTGGATGTTGATCTCATAGCATCGGCAACGAAGAGGGACCGAACTTTATCGCGAGTAAGTCATTACGTACTAAGCGGTTGGCCTGACAGAGTCATAGACAGTGAACTGCGTCCGTATTGGTTACATCGTACTGAACTCTCATTGCATGAAGAATGTATTTTATTTGGTTGTCCCGTAGTGGTGCCACCATCGTTGCGTGAGCCTTGCCTAGGTGCCTTACATAAGACACACGCTGGTGTCGTGCAAACAAAGGCAATGCCCAGAAGTTATGTTTGGTGGCCGCAATTGAATCATGACATTGAAGTTTTAGTTGGAGAATGCTCAAAATATTTAGAAAACAGGCACATGCCCCCTAAAACAAGCTGTGAATGGATTACACCAACTAAACCATGGGTTTAAATAAATGTAAACTTTGCCGGACCTTTTCAAAATAAGACATTTCTGATTGTTGATGTCTATTTGAGATGGCCTGAGGTTTTTATTGTAAACAATATGACTTCTGGAACAATTATTCGACATTTAAGGAATATGTTTGCAACACATGGATTGTTTGAAACTAGTTTCATATAATGGAACACCATTTGTATCGACAGAAATGAAAATATTTCTTGAAGCGAACAAAATTAAAAATGTCACTACAGCACCTTATCACCCGGCTACCAATGGTTTAGCTGAAAGGATGTCCAAACCATTAGGGATAAACTACGAAAGATGGATGACATCCCATGGGATATCAAACTTCCTAACATATTACTAGGTCTCTCATATGGTGACTTAGAATGAACATTCATTTTATTCCTAATTTTTCCCCCAGAATAAGTTACTTCCATATTAGTCGGTATACCTAACATTTCCACCCATTTCTCCTGACTAGGTATTTCAATAATTTCTTCTCTTACATCAATATCTGTCTTATCTTTTTCTAAGTTATAGCCAGTAACTTCCTCTGCTAAGTCATTGTCATTTTTGTCAGAACACACACTACCATCCATTATGGTCCTAGAAATTGGATCAAATGAAAATATTGCACATCCCAAATACCATGTACCTACAAGCTACTAAAAAAATGTGAATGGAACAAATCATATAGAAATCTATTACATTTTGACAAAAATAGTGTTGGATTGTATAATAGCGTCTTAGCTTTTTCATTGTCAGATAAGGCTAGAAAACTTTATAAATTAGTATTGTTAGGTATTAAGAACAGATAATTTTTTATAATTGTTTACATGTACGTGGTAAAGCCATGTTGCAGCTATATTAGTAGTATAGTTGTAGCATGAATGGGTCGACTCGACCGGGGAAGAACCACACTCTCACAGAATACCAGCATCAAATAGCAGCTTAACACTGCTGTGTTTTGTATGGTGAATGTAGAAAACCAGAGACCCTTTTTACTGGAAAAGAGGCATTCCATCTTAGTCCTCACGGGTGACAACGCATCTGCATTTTGATTCGCAAACGAAGATAGATGTAGATGTCTATGGGCCACAGCAACCACTTACCATCAGGTGGACTGTGTGCTCGGTTGTAACCCTATCCTATAAAAAAAATATCATAGTCTAATTATGTGTATTTGATTGTGTACCTCTAATCAATAAAGATTTTAAAAAAAATCTACTAAAAAGGTATATATGATTTTACGATACGCTAGTTAAGTAAGTCAGTGGGCACATTCTTTTTTAATATTAGTCCCACACAAGCAATGGTGCTATGCATTCCAGACTAAAATAAGACAAAATTGGTTTAATTCATTGTCTAGTATTTACATAAATGTATGAATTCAGATTATAATAATCTACCTGTCTTGTAACAGTGATCTCATCATGATTCTCATAGCCAATGGGACACTGGCGTTTATCACGGTTGTCAAAGGTGATGCTGACTGTGGCCTTGGTAATGCCTGCCTGGCCATGCTTGTAAATGAGCTCCTGTAGGCTACCTGCCCTCACCTGAAATCAGTAAAATTAAAGTTTAATCCACCTATGTTGTTATTATTACATGATAAAGCGTAAGTAGAATTACCTTATTGTAATGTATTGATAGTGTTGAGGGAAAAAATGTAATATATTACTCATCAAAATAATGAAATTAGAGAAATTATAACAAAGAGCATAAAGGGTGCAACAGAATTTTAAAATCAGGTAAAACATACATTTTTATAATAGCTATCCCCTTGATAAATATAAAACAAGACTAGAATTACATAAAGGCAAAGATTATTCACACACCATGGAAACAAATCTGAAAACTGTAATATTTTGGCGGGAAAACTTTATAACTTATAATAGTAACTTACATTAGATAGGTTTGTGATGCCTAGTACAAAGCATATAGAATCTAGAATATTAGACTTCCCAGTACCGTTCAAGCCAGTGATAGCATTAAATTCTGGGTCAAAACCGGTCACCTCAACTCTATTTCCATACGATTTAAATCCGTCCAAAACAATTGACTTTATATACATGCTAATAAACAAAAAAATTTCAAAATCACTTAAATCAAATGATAGGTTCTTGAAAATTATTGATAATTGATAATTGTTCCACAAAACAAATCAAAGACCGTTGCACACAGATTTTTGTTTGATTTGTGAATTGACATATTATTACAATTTGATTTTGTTGCCAGTTATGGCTTATGGTTACGGTGTTTTTTGTTGTTGTCCGATTCGGCAATGAAGTCAGGCAAAGGTCTAAAATCACACAGCCTCATCTGATTGTATTTTGTTTAAATAAGACTCTTTACAATATGCTGATGCGTCATTACAAAGTTCTTGAGAGATTTATCAAGGCCTAAGAGCCGTTAAATATTGAGATTTCGCTATTGAATCACTTGCTACAATAAATGGATAGTTAATTCCAATAAATGGATAGTTCACAATAAGTATTTAACTAATGTATAGGCCGTTTTTGAAATAAATGACGTGAGTTTATAAAGAGATTAATAAATAAAAAATGACAAGTCATTTGACAAGTTTCTAAAAATTTTGATGAGTATGCGCACGTTTAATATAAAGAGGTAAGGGGATTCTGTTGTCATGCTGATTGGTTGTCACACGGGTTTAATAAATTTTTTCAAGAATATTTTAATTAACGACGTTATTTTCGTTTGAATTAGTATATTTTTCTAAATTTCAATCTAATTATTTTACGTAAGTGTTTATTATTATTCGTAGCTAGCTTATCTACTTGGGATGGAAGAGATTGAACAGGATTCAGATCCTCCGGATGATGCCGGAAAATCTGGATCTTCACCCGACTTTTTTATTAATTCTAATCCTACTGATACATTTTACCAGTCCGATACTGGTAATCCAATGAAACGCAAAGCCTATAATATATCATCCTTAAATTTAGAACCGAAGCAAAAGATGTCTTCTCTTCCTTCAGCAGCCGTACAGAATGTATTTGTTCATCCTTTATCTGAACAAAAGAAACGCTATAATAGTAATGACAATGCACCTTTTATTGTTCACATTATGAAACCGACAGTAGAGCCCTCCTCCGGAACTACAATTAAGCCAATTAAAGTGGGTCAATTTCTGTACCAAAACAATATTCAGGGAATTTTAAAAAATGGTGTTAAGAGCATAGGACACAATCGTATTTCTATTGAGTTTTCTTCCCCCCAACTAGCTAACGATTTTGTTGTAAGTCCATTACTTGCTAAAGCAAATTTTGTAGCCGTAATTCCTACCTATGCTATTACGAGAATGGGTATCGTTAGAGGTGTTCCAATCGATATAGGTATGGATGAATTCGTCTCTGCATTAGAAGTTGCCCCTTCTACAGAAATAATTCGCGCTCGTCGTCTAAACCGTAAAGTTATTAAAGCAGATAACTCTGTTGAGTGGATTCCAACACAAACGATTGTAATTACGTTCTCTGGTAAATTACTGCCCTCACATGTTTTTGCCTACTTCACGTCATATCCTGTAGAACCTTACCTCTTACCAACCATACAATGTTATAACTGCTGTCGTTTTGGTCATGTTAAGTCTAAATGCCGATCTAAGCCTCGTTGTTATAAATGTGGACAACCACATGATGGAGAATCATGTGAAGTTACCTCGGTCACATGTCTTCACTGTACTGGTAATCATGCAGCTATTAGTTCATCCTGTCCAGAATTTAATAGACAAAAATCTATTAAAGTAATTATGTCCCAAGAACATATCTCTTATGATGAAGCATCTGTAAGAGTCCGCCCATCCAAACGAGCCTATTCCGACATTGCAAGCAAAACTCCTTTAAATCCATCTCCTAATACGAGTAATAAGAATTCATATAAAAAAACTTTCTATATAAATAGGAAACCACGTTCTCCAGCATCCGATCATGGGTATGACCATACAGCCCATGAATCCATGATCCAAATCCCAAGAAGTTCTCTTCCTAATGGAAATGCTTACCCTAAAGATAATGAGCAAAACCATACTCCTCCAAATGAAAATTTAATAGACTTACTAATATCCACACTTATGTGTATCATTTCGAAATTTGATGACCACTGTTTACCTCCAAATTTAACCCAGTCTCTTGAGAAACTATCAATGCTCTTAAATAATATAAATAAGCATGGCTACGATTCTTCAATGGAACTGTCGCAGTATTAAGCATAAAAAAGGCGATTTAATCTATCTTATCAACAAATACAACCCGTTTCTTGTAGCATTATCAGAAGTTTGGCTTCACCCGAAATCTCACTTCCGTATTCCTGGTTTTGCCTGCTTTTGCGAAGACAGGAAAGATGGTTACGCCGGTGCTGTAATCCTAATTAATAGATTACATTCATTTACCAAGGTTTCACTTCCTCAACATAGTGAGGAACTAAACGTTGTAGCTTGCAAATGTAATGATATCACATACCTGTCTTTCTATATTCCTCACCCACATCCATCACTGATCACTGAATTAAACTTAATAATTTCATTTATTACTCCTCCTTTTATATTACTAGGTGATTTTAATGCTCACCATGTCTCATGGGGCTCATGCAGAAATGATACTTTTGGCTATCTCTTAATGGAATTGTTTGATGAATTTAATATTTGCATTTTAAATGATGGATCACCAACAAGGAGAGTATATCCATCTCAAAATCCTAAAAGTGTTGTTGATCTAACTTTATGTACCCCAAATCTTACATCACGTATTAATTGGAAAGTTTTATCTCACTCATATGGTAGTGATCATTACCCAATATTACTTTCATTAGCCAACTGCTCAATACCAATCAGAGTTTTTTCTCCGCTGTTAAAATATAATATAAAAGGAGCGGACTGGGCTAAATTCTCATCGTTATCAGATTCGGTACTCTCTAAATTTTATAACAGTGACTCTAATGATATAGAGACAAACTACAAAAACTTTGTTAAGTATCTTTTACTAACCGCAGATTCATGTTTCACACGAAAAATTTCGTCTCCTATCAAAATTTGTTCTCCCCCATGGTGGGATGAGGAATGCACACTCAGTGTTAAAAAAACGAAAACAAGCTGAACGTCTATACTCCTCCAATATGTCTATTGAAAACTTTTTAAATTATAAAAAAATAGCTGCCCATACATTAAAACTGTTAGCACATAAAAAAAGACGGGTTGGCTTAGGTTTTGTGAAAATCTTTCACCCCGCTCTCCTGCTTCTATATTATGGAAGAATATGAAGAAATTCCGCGGATCATATAACGTTGATAATTATTCACCGCAATGTGATTCCTCTATTTGGTACAATTTATTTGCCGATAAGCTTGCTCCTCCTTGGGTTCCCTCCTTTGAGGAATTATGTTATTGTGAACCATTGATAACCCAACCTGGAGTAAACATTAATAATTCACGTTTTAATGAACTTTTCTCCAATGAAGAATTTGAATTGGTTGTTCAACACCTTAAAGATTCGTCACCAGGAATAGACGGAATTCCATACTCATTTATTTCTAACGCAGGATCAAAATCTAAGCAAATTTGTCTAGACTTAATCAATGATATATTTATTACGGGAATAGTCCGTAATGATTGGAAAATGCAAATTATTATCCCCATCTTAAAACCAGACAAAAATCCTAGTGATGGTAATAGTTACCGCCCTATAGCACTATCATCAACTCTGTGCAAAATAATGGAGCATTTAATTAAAAACCGTCTAGAATGGTTTGTTGAAAATAAAGGTCTCTTGGCCAAAACACAGTTTGGATTTCGAAAGGGACTGAGCACGCTTGATAGCTTGTCTGTTTTTACCTCTGATATACGCTCGGCTTTTTCCAGAGAAGAATCAGTTGGTGCTGTTTTTCTAGATGTATCATCAGCCTATGATAACGTTGTCCTCCCTTTACTCAAAGAAAAGATGTTTCTTTTGGATATTCCCCATAGAATTACTCGCATTATTTTTAATTTACTTTCAGTTAGGTCAATATGTATAAGAGTTCAAGGAAAACTGCTCCCTCCTAGACAGATATGGCGAGGCCTCCCACAAGGTTCTGTTTTAAGTCCTATTTTATTTAACATATACACCCATAATCTCGAATATTCTGTTAACTCCTTTTGTAAAGTCTTACAATATGCTGACGATCTAACTCTTTATTACTCTTCTAAGAACTTTACAGACTTGAGTTATCGTCTTAACTCTGCATTGTTCTACTTAAATAATTGGCTTACTAATAACGGTCTATCCTTATCACCTACAAAGAGTAGAGTAGTAATATTCTCTAGAAAAAGATTTTGTCCCAATATTTCAATCTCAGTACAAAATCAAATAATTCCGACAAGTGATAATGTTAAATTTCTAGGTGTTTTTCTGGATTCTAAGATGACAGGTATTCCTCATTTAACGTTCATTGCCCAAAAATGCGAAAAGAATGTAAATATCCTTCGTTCACTGACAGGTGGGAATCTCATCCATATTGTTTAAAACTTTTATATAACGCTCTAATCCGTAGTCATTTTGACTACGGTACATTTCTTTTGGAACCTTGTAATAAACAAGCTCTTAACTTTTTAGATAAAATCCAACTCAAGTGCTTACGAATTATTTTAGGGGCCATGAAATCATCTCCATCAAATGCTCTACAAGTTGAATGTGGCGAACCTCCTCTTTACCTACGTAGACAGTATCTTGCCGATCGCTTTATATATCGAATATTTCAGCTATCTTCACACCCACTGCTTTCTAAACTGCATTCTTTAAACTCTGGTTTGAAGAATAACAACTACTGGACTCATAAAGACGTTCCCTGTATTCTTAAAAGCTACCAAAAGATACTTAACTTCAAATTTCCCATATTTCAAAGTATGATTAATCCTCTATTCATACATCCATTTGAAGCTTTATGTTATCACCCTCCAGTTATATTAGATTTTGGTGTGACTAAAAATTCCCCTGCAGCCCAAGAAAAATTTCTAAGTATATTACGTGAAAAATGGGAAGGCTGGTTGACCCTTTTTACTGATGCATCCAAACTCTCCGATAA